GTCCATAGGGGTACCCACAGTGAAGCGTGCAGGCTTGGGAAGATGGTGGATCCTGTCAAAGGTCTAGGCAGTGTTATCAAGGTGAGCCTCTGCTGTTATAGTATCTGCTATTCCGCAAAAGCGGATATTATTGCGTTGCGATCTGTCTTCCATATCTGCCATTTTCTGTTGCATTGCAGCCTGTTCTTCCTCTTGCCTTTGCAATTTATCCACTACTTCGTTGTGAGCGGAGCACAGCTCCTCAGTCTTGGTTTTCAAGTTGCTGGTGCGGCCTCCCTCGTCATGAATGTTTCTACACAATTCTGTCGCCATTTGACTGAAATCAGCTCTTAGAGATGCCTTAAGATCTTGCAGCATGGTGTGTAAGCTTTTGTTTTCAATTAGCTCTGATTCCGCGGGACCATCAGAGGCTGGTGAGTGCGGCATGGAGTTGTTGCTATCTTGTAATTGCCTCATGCAGTCCTTTTTGCATTGCCACATAGGATCTGTAATCTAGTTGTTTGGAGGGTGCTATCTGGTAGACGGGTATGCTCCAAATATGGCTGAAAATGCTTTTTTAGGTTTATTTTTAGTCACTTTGGGCTCGGTGGATCACGGAGCTCTTATTTCATGCGGCTGCTTCGTTCGGCAGTTGGTCATGTCCCCATGTATTTATATTTCTTGATACGTTTAAATGGTATTACAATATCTCTATTTCCTTGTGTGTAAGAACATTGTGCATTAATGAATTAATACATTGATAATAAATTGTGTAATAAATATATTTTTGTTTAAATATGTAAGATATTTGGGGGCGTGGCCAAGACCGGAATGCAGACGGACGCATAGGCAGAGAGCTCCACCAAAAAAACATTAGCTTGATTCCACACAGCTAGCAACTAAAAACGTGCACAAATAAGTGCTTACCGACGGACTGCACTCCCAGGTTACCATGGCAAGCAAAACCACTCGCAAATCTAAGAGCAAAACACCCTCAATGCAGATCACGGCCTTCTCCTCGCCAGGCAAGTGCATCCAAGATGGCGCCTGAGAGACACTCTACCCTACCTCAGAATGTGAACGCAGTGAGTCAGGACGTAGTGACATGACCTTGATCTCACGGGTCACTGCTTTGCAGGCTGGGGAAAGCAATATTCCTATGCTGGACAATCTGAAGACTACTATCAGGTCAGATTTTCAAAAACTGTCAGCAGACATCAGGAAGGAGGTACAAGCAATTGGGGAGCGCACAGCTCATTTAGAAGACAAGACAGAGGAGATTATAGAGGCACATAACAATCTGGCTGATGCCTATAATACCTTCTCTGCAAAACTTCAGATGTTAGACACTAAGGTTACTGGCATGGAGGATAGAGCCCGCAGAAATAACATCCGCCTGTGCGGCATCCCAGAGGAGGTTAAGACACAAGATTTAAAGCCCTACCTAACCCAGCTATTCCAAACCATGCTGCCAGATGCCTCAGCCCAGGAATTGGAGCTAGACAGGGCTCATAGGCTACTGAAACTGCGGAACATCCCCGCGGCGGCACCCAGAGTTGTCATAGTCCGCATTCCACTTTTTTGCCACCAGGCGGCCAGAGACTGGCAGGCAGGTATACAGGCCTTCAGCTTTTTGTGGACCTATCTCCAGCCACACTGGCAAAACAAAGATCCTTAGTCACCAGGGCGCTGAGAGAGGCGCAAATCCCTTACAAATGGGGATTTCCCACTCGCCTCATCATCCACAAGAACGGCTCAGACAGGATTGCCGCATTGCCAGAAGAAGGTCACAAAATACTGACACAATGGAACATTCCGCTCCAAGCAATTACTTTGCCCGCCGGGGACCTGGAGCCGTTGGCTACCAGAATTACTGGGGACTGGCAAAAAGTTGCATCCGCCAAGTGAATCGCCACCTTGGGACTAGAAAATAGAAATCCTGCGCACCTTCAGGAGCTACATGCTGACCACGGACTGGGTGTAGTATTACCTCTCTTAACACATTGATAATCCTCCCCTCCTACTATCTCTTTCACCTCCTAGGTTCTCTAACAAACACAACATTTAAAAAAAAATAATAAAAATACATAAATAAATAAAATAAATAAAAAATAAATAAAATCCAAAAATGAATAATAATAATAAAAAAAAAGAATAAAGGAAAACACTAACTCTGAATTTCCAACACCATTGCTACTCTCAAGGAGGCCATAGTAGGTGAGACTCCGTGCGAAGGCCTCTGCCCGCATGTCTCTCTGTTGCCTTATTACCCACACCCCCACAAGGCTCACTACAGAGCCACTGCGGTGTGACACGTTCACACTGTCAATTTGTTTTTGTCCCTGGTTTGTACTTAGATGCCTCGGATGAGGTTATCCAGAGTTTGGGGACACCTGTACATAGTTCAAGTTTGGTTTAACACTATTTTTTTTTTTCTTACCCTTTTCCTTTTCATTATGTATAATGTCAATCCATGGCTGGTACGCAATGTCTGCGAATATGTCTTTTGTGGGTGGTGGGCTGCACATAGGAAAGTGGAAAATGAATGTCTTTATATGTACACCAAGGGCAACTAGGCCCCTAGTCTCAGCTAACAAAATTTCCCCGAGCAATGGTGCTTAACATTTTCTCGCTTAACGCGAAAGGGTTGAATTCACCACACAAAAGACGCCTGGCACTCCAGGAAGCAAAAAGGGCAAACACTCACATAGCATTTTATCAAGAATTTTAAATGGGGCCACAGACCTAAATTCAATTCCCCGCAATTTCCGGTAGACTTCAATGCTTGCTACTGTAAAAAGAAAAGGGGAGTCTCCATTCTAGTTAGCAAGGAGGTTGCCTTCACGTTGGTGGCAAAACACGCTGATAAGAATGGCAGATATTTGATAATCCAATGCACTATTAACAACGCACAGTTCACATATATGTACCACACAGTTAACATATATGTACCACACACCGATCAGCCAGCCTTCTAAGAAACTATTTTTCAGAAGCTAGACAAATGGAGACTGGGGGAAGTGATCATGGGAGGGGACACAAATTTTATCTTAGATGACCAGTTGGATGTTACGTCCTCAGGGACAGTGGCTCAAACCACGGCGACACACAGAGGTTCCATAACACGAAAACTGAACCAATCCCTATTAACCCATGGATTTATAGATCCATGGAGGGTGACACACCAAATAGGGAGGGACTACGTAACCTAGCACCCAAGACAGACCCCAACTACAATAAAAAAAAAGACAGCAGCAACCCTCGCAACCTCAATGCCACACTGCGATCTTACTGGACAATTCACAGTAAGACTACTGCACGTTAATTTTATTTTACCTTTCCATTTTAAATTTTATTTCTTCCACTTTTATTTATTTACTTTTGGTTAACTGTTCTAATGTGACAAGAATGTTATCTAGTTTACATGCCAAAGCAGAACTGATACTACTGGATATTATTGCATACACCACGTAACCTTTCCCCTCTTGCCAGAACACAAGACAAAGCAGGTGCCCAACTCATTTGAGAAGGGCCATGCTCCACCCCAACCTCTACCACAAATGCCTCATACATGGGCATACACACGTACGCCGGAAGCTTACCTAAGACCCAGTGGAGGGGGGACGAGGAGGGGAAAACCGTTGGGAACTGTTTTACTTTGTACTTTGTGTTTTGTATTAAAGGCAAGCTGACCATGTATAATGTATGACATGTAACTGTGATGTGATGTACTGTGGATGTATACATTGAACCAAAATCAATAAACGTCAATTATAAAAAAATATGTAAGCTATCTGGGGAGAATTTCCTTTACTAATTTTAAAAAGTTTTAATTTTTTTCTTACAAATGATGAGTTTTCTTACAACAGATGAGTTGACCCATATATAATGATTAATTAGATTTATCCTGTATTATATAAAATGTATTTTAAACTTTATTTTTCTTACCAATATATAATTTTTTTGTATATATGTTATATTTTAACATATGCATTTTCTACAGAGGATACATGGATATAACCTCATCTAGTTATTTCTCATTATTTCTTGCACTACTATTATTGCTAATATACACAGAGACTGAGTTTATATGCTTTTGTTTCTCTTTTTATAAAGCTTATATGCATGCACTGTGAAGTGGCCCATCAAAGATATCATCAGCACAAACCTTAATAATGCAGGATTGATGTCATCACATCCAATGGTGGCATTGAATAAATCTTGTTCTTAGACAAATAATATCAAGATTTGCATTACTGTTGTCACACTATTGATTATAAGCACTCAATTTGAAGTTCCTGATCAAGAAACCAGAACTTTAGGATTCTGGTGGGCTCGCTGTGTCAAGCATATACCATGTACTATGTCTTCCTTCTTTTCTATTATTCTTATGCTTTGTGGACATTTTTAATTTTTTTTTTTTTGCAAACCATATATTTTTTTAGGGGGGTAATTAATGCCAAATTTTGATTTGCCATTATATGGATAAAGGAAAATAATATTCAAGAAAAAAATAAGACCTGATGGAATTTAATACATTTTCTTTTACAGTTATTAGATTTATTGAACTCCCATTCATCATTATTATAAGAGTCAAGTGGGTAGGTAGATTTTTTTTCATTTCAGGAGGTGCGTAATGGCTTACCATGGGGTAACTAAAAAAGCTTTGGTGGGTGAGCAATGGTTTGTCATCCACTACTATTGTCATTAATACTGCTATCCAAAGGCCTTGTGTCAAGGGTAGATAAGTGCCTGCCCTTCAAAATTTGTCAAATAGTCCTAGCCTGCAGCCCTTAGGTAAAGGAAGGCTAAAAAAAATATGCCCCCATATATTATATTAATATATCTAACCCTTCACCCACAGTAGATGTCTCCAACTTTTTATTATTTTATAGAGCCCCCACTTACTGCCAAAGGATAAAATGGATGTTGTAAATACATTTCTCACAGGATAATCTATGAATGCTAGTGGGGTAAATTGAATGTGCTTATTGCAAGGAAAAAAAAACTGAGGTCCTGGTCAGAAAGATGAAAAGAACACAAGTGAAGTCAGAGATAGAACATATACTGTTACAAAAAAACTCTGCTCTAGTAATGTCAGTAGAATGAACAAAGACGAAAAAGATAACAATATATGCTTGTTGCTTAAGATGTTTTCAGTGTCAACAATAATACTAATACTAATAATAATAATAATAATAAATATTGATCCTTGTTAGTTTGAACATTTTAGTAACTAGGTTACAGAATTGTTTCACTGATTCAATATTCTCTTGAAACAAAAATATGATATTGTTCCTTATACATATATAATGATGTAATTTCTTTACAAATACTAATAATGTGTGAAGCTTACAGTGTATTGGCATATTAAATTTATAAATTTGTTTAAATTCAAATAATCAATGCACATTCTCTCAGTGGTGGATTAGACATTATCTCCAAGCAGGTAACATGATTTGTAAGAAACATTAATTTGTGTAGAATCAACCTCCTCCTTCCTAATAAATAAATATAATAGCAGACAGCGATGTACATAATTAAATATGTTATAGAACAATGTATAATCAGTTTTATAAATGCAGTAATTACAATTTGTATATATCTATATTAAAATGAAATGATGGAATCCATTTGAAATGAAAAGGATGTTAGCTGATAAAGTAGCTTAGTACATCATTCATCATCCTTATCTGTAAACAGCAATCACAAATGTCATGATGTCTAAGATATTTATTCCCATACAGTTATAGCTCTTTGGCAGACTTTCCAGCACTTGTTGTGTTGGCAGTTTTGCAGTTATCACTTGAACTGTCATGGAGATAGACTGCTGATGAGTTCTTTGAGCTGCCTTATCCTCCTAGATGCCATTTTCATTTGACTTTTGGATGTCACATTCTGTGACTTATGGTTGAATGTGTTCAACCTGTAAATTTCTGTTCAGTTGTGAATTTGTTCTTTTGCAAGCACCCATGGGAATTTAATGTGTAATGTATCATATGTTCTCTTCATATTACCCAGTATATACATGATAAAAGGTTATTTGTTTCTCTAGTTTTCATTTTTTTAAGAAATCTACACCTTGAAAAGGGTGTTATAGCATAAATAAGTCATAATTCAATATATGTTTGGGATACTTTGATAACACATTACTCACAGATGTTCTCTATATTTGTTAAAAAAATTAGTACACAGCTGTATATCAAGAATGTATACTAGCAGCTTTCTCAAATACTAATTTTGTGCTTGTTTGTTTAGATTTGGATGTTATCGATATTGTTCAAAGTAAAAAGAGGCACTAAGGGAAAAATAAGTAAGAGAAGTATGAATATCTGTAATTAGTCTTATGCATTAGAACTGTATCCAGAATCACTATTTACAGAATACTTTATCAGATAGAACTTAGTAATAAAAAATAAATCAGTGAAATAATAATAATAATAATAATAATAATAATAATATCTCAAATGGTTTTATAAACTAACTGTTAATTCTAGGCCTTTTATATATAATTAATGTAATGGGAATATCATTATTGATATATTTTTTATGGAGTACTGGTATATATTATATTTTTTTTAATTGAAGGGTTACTGCAATCAACACTTCAGTGTTTTAAAGTGGTCATGGTGCTAGTAGGCAACTTTTCCATTTGAAACACTGCACATACCAAGATATTTTAGATTGCTACCACATTGACTAGATTGCTATGACATTGACATCAGTCAGCCTGAATGAGAGGCTGGATGGTGACATACAGCGGCCAATCAATGTATGGAGCATTCAATTGGCAGCAGCATTCAGGTTCAGATGAGACTAAACACCCGGAAGGTTCTAGATAAGAGGGCACACGATTGCAAAATACATTGGCACATCACTATGAAATGGTGCTAGGATACTTAATGTTCTGTAACTACTATTGTGGGCTGCTTCATTGTAGAACTTGCTCTACCTGCTTGAAGATGTGATTTCACCTATTTCTGGATGCATTCACAAGTTTTGATTTATGTGATTTTTTTCTTTCACCCACCATATTTTAATATGTGAAATAAACATTGGAGATTTAGACATACATAAATGACCAAGATGTATGCAGCCCACGATTGCGTCAAAGTACTCCAATTACAGTGGGTTCCTATCTGCCTAGATATGCATGACTAAATAAACAATAATAAAACAAACACAGCACTTACCTGCAAGAAATGGGCAGATGACTTGGAGCAACTGCCTGCAACTGCCTGCAGGAACCAACTGAAACAAAAAGGATTAATGGTAAAGAAACGGGTGTGGCAACAAAAAACAAACATTTAAAGGAATCCAAGAGACTGGGAATTCCAGGAACGGAATACAGGAAACCCCACATAAAGCAAACCAGACATGGAATAGAAAACCAGAAAAACCAAGAAAAACTAAACAAGAATTGTAAAAAGAGTACAGGATACCAGAAGCCAAGGCCAGACATCTCCACAGAACAGAGCATGATGTGACAGTTCGTGAGCACTTCCCCTTTGCTGAGATAATCCATCCACCTCACAGTTGTGGCATATCAAGATGCTGATTAGACAGCATGATTATTGCAAAGGTGTGCCTTAGGCTGGCCACAATAAAAGGCCACTCTAAAATGTGCCCTTTAAGAGTGCCACTTGACCCCTGTAGTATAGGATGCTGGGAGGAAGTGAGCGGCACTCACTTCCTCTCAGACTAAGAGAACACTACAAGTGACTAAAAGAAGCACAGGGAGCAGCGGGAAGTAAGCTGCTGCAGACACATGTCAGACTCATTCAGCAGCCCCCAAAGAAAATCATCCTCTTGCAGACAAAAGGTATGCTAACAGAAGGGGGACTGCAAATATAAAAAAGTATGAGTTATATGTGTATATGTCAGTGTTTATCTGTGTGTGTATATCTGCCAATGTGTGTGTCTATGTGTGTATGTACCAGTGTCTGTATTTGTGTGTCTGCATACACATACTCTATAAAAAACTGCTTACAAACACCACCTTGCTAGGATCTGCAAATGGTAGATCCCCAGCAGCTTTAGCATCATGGTAGATGTGTGACAGAAGGGAATCTATCTTCTCACCACTCTTGCGATAGAGGGGTCCCAATTTTTTTTTTTGCACCAGATCCCTCTCTACATTAGTTCCACCACTGAAACCCCTAATGTATTGCTTGAGGAAGATCTCTTAACATACACAATTGATTAAATAAGGAAGAGGTTATGTTTGCTTTATAATCTACGCTATATAACAGCTCCCATGCAGATTATTGAAAAGTAAATAAAAGTGTTATAGGCTAGTTTAACATTATGGGAATCCCAAAAGAAACCCCATACTAATCAATACCATAATCAAAAATTACATATCAAGGAAAAAATGTACAGTGACACTGTTACACTCGAACTTGACCCCGAACCTGACCCCGAACCTGAACCCCATTGAAGTCAATGGGAACCTGAACTTTTGGCCACGAAAATGGCTCTAAAAAACTCCTGGAAAGGGCTAGAGAGCTGCAAAGGGAAGTAAAATGGGTGCAAGAGTAGGACAAGTGCCCTGCAAACAAATGTGGATAAGGAAATCACTTAAAATAACATAAAAGTTAAAAATGCAGCTGAGCCATAAAATAGCACTAGAGGAAATCTTTGAATTTAGCTTTGGAAGAACATAAATCAAAATCTAAAGCATGGCTGTCAGGAGGATCAACATAATTATCCATTTGAGAGAGGGTTGGGGTGCAGGGTATTCTCTTTCATTGTTTAAACTGAGCTCAACTCCTGATGCATGAAGAAAAGGCCTTCACAAGCCCCTGCTATTGTGTACCTAGTTTATACTAAGTGACCCATAGGTTGAGGAGGTGGTGACCATGGTGGTGGAGGAACAAGCAGTGGTGGAGGAGGAGGATGAGGTAGCCAACACTGTATGTTATGTTTTGTTTTGTTTTTTTATTCTGGTAGCCCACAAAATATTGGGACATACTAATAAAGAAACATTTGTGGCCTGTGGTGCATTTCTTGCAGTCGTGATGCATGGAGACATGCTCAAATCCTGATGCATGGAGAAAAGGCCTTCACAAGCCTCTGCTAATGTGTACCTAGTTTATGCTAAGTGACCCATAGGTTGAGGAGGTGGTGACTGTATTTTATGTTTTGTTTTTATTGTGGTAGCCCACAAAATATTGGGACATACAAATAAAGAAACCTTTGCGGCCTGCGGTGCATTTCTTGCAGTCCTGATGCATGGAGAAATGCTCAACTCCTGATGCATGGAGAAAAGGCCTTCACAAGCCTCTGCTAATGTGTACCTAGTTTATACTAAGTGATCCATAGGTTGAGGAGGCAGTGACCGTGGTGATGGAGGAGGAGGTAGCCAACACTGTTTATATATATATATATATATATTTTTTTTTTTTAATTGGGGTAGCCCCCAAAATATTGGGACATATAAAAAAAGACAACTCTGTTCCGCAGAGTAGCTGTTGACATTATAGTTGCGCAGGAACTTTGTTGACTCTAGAGAACCTCGGGCAAATCGCACATCCCCGTGGCGACTTTGCATGCGGATGTCATCCATATCAACTTTCAATGCCAGTTTCTGCACCTACCATGGTGACCACGGGTAACAGGGAATCAGGGTTCCCTGAGAAACGGCTACCACATGCAAGGAAGGCAGCAGACGCGCAGGTGACCCACTCCCAACGCGGGAAGGTAGTGATGACCAATAACAATACAGGACTCTTTAGAGGCCATGTAATTGTAATGAGTCCACTTGAAACTTTAACTCTGGTCAATTGGAGGGAAGCCACTGACCCATGCGTGCTGCAGCTTAAACTCCACTATCAGAGTCTCATGAGGCGGTGTCACATCCTGTTCCAAGTTGCAGATCAGTCTGATGATGGCTTCTGGTATCAAGTACTCTTTTTACTGAAGCAGGGTCCAGGTATGTGGCCGCACAAGCACTGGTGCTCAACACCAGGGGACATGCGGTTACCCTGCACCAGACCCTGCTAATCCATTCCACACTGTGACTCCTAACTTCAACATCAGGCATACTGGGTCCCGGTCGTCCGACTGCTGCCCACACAGTTTCTGGGTCCTGGTCCCCAGACTGCCCACCTCACTGTGAAACTACAAATGGATCGGTAAATCTGGTACGACCCCGAACTTTGCAGTTCGTGCTCACTCAACTCTATTATGGATCCTTTGATCGCTACATGTCTTACTTGGATAACTGGTAATTCTCAAACTAATACATGCCGACGAGCGCTAGGGGATGGCCGCTCCGCTTTTGCATCCTGCTCCCTCTTATGCTGTGCTGGTGTCAGGATTTGAACCTGGGGGTTCTGGTGCTGTTATATTACCTCTGAGCCACCTCTCAGTGTTACTATTGCCTGTATCTAGCCCTGTCTAGTATCTAGCACTGGGGCTGGACATTTAGTGGAACTACTCCGGCCACTCATTTTACACCTGAAGTTGATGTCTCGTTAGCCAGGTATATAACACTGCCTCTCCCAGAAGGCAGTGTCAGTTCCTTGACTCTGGTGATTGGTTTGCTGTTTCCTGTTCTCCAGTTTGCTCTTGACTCCGGCTTGTGTTTTCGTTTATGCTGACTTCTGGCATCCTCTGACCCTTGGCTTCCCACTACTATTCTCCTGGTTTATCCGTTCCTGTACTGCGACTCAGAATTATCCTGCACAGCCCCCGTGCACCGACTCACAGGCCAGGTGAATTCTTGCCTGACCACCTCGGCCTGTGTTTTCTTGCAAAGGTGAGCATACATCTCTGCCTGTGCTATCTGTGTGTGCATGTGTCCCTGTTCTATCTGTGTGTGCATGTGTCCCTGTTCTGTCTGGGTATCCCCCCTGCTGGTCACTTACCTCGGCTGCCTCCTGGTGTGGAGTGTGGGTCACCTTCTCACCGTTGCTCTTCTCACAGATCCTGGCTGCAGTTCACAGAAATGCCCAGCAGGTGGTGCCTGGAGCACCTTGGAAGACCGCGGTGGGAGCTGAATTCAGTGTCTTCTGTCTGGACCTTTTTGTTATGCCGCGGGCGGTACGCCAGGCATTGGCTGGTGAGTACGTTGTTCCTTCTTTTTTCCAGTTGGGTCCCTGGGGGGGGTTCTTAGTGCTATACACCGAAAACATAAATAAATAAATAAATAAATAAAAATAAAAATTCGTAAAATAAATAAATGAAAGGAAAATGAATTGATAAAAAATGACAAAAAAATAAAAAAACATAAAAGAAACAGAACACGGACACCACTTACCATGGAGTCCTCTCTGGTTACCCCTCCTCCTTCTCAATATTTATTGTATGCTTTAGTACTGTTTCCTGCAGCCTCCTGCACAGCTAATAGCGCTGGTGATGCCTCCCAGGAGGCAGGCGTTTCATGTGGCTCTGGGCACTGCTGATGTGCGCTAGTATGGCCCGCTTGGCTTGCGCTTCTCACAAATTATTAGGGAGCAGATTGGGGAAGGGTTCTTAGAGGTAGGTGGACCATACCCGGATGCACCCCATGACGTGCGTGAATTGTATCCGGGCATCGTATGCTATGGATAGCATTGTCGGGGTGAGGGCTCCCCGAGAGTGCTTGCGTTGTTCTGCTGTCAGGACACCCACTGGGATGCTTGTCGTCCCTGGGGCGAGCTGGGTTGGTGAAGGTGCGTCTTGCACTTTCGTTCACGGTTGGCGTGCGACCCTTCTTGGCCTGAGACCGGATGGACTTAGGCCTCTGGTTTTCCTTTGTGGCCCCTCGTGCCATTCCAGCATGAGGGCTCCAGTTGCAGGGGGGACATGGGTGCTCTCTGTGCAAGACCTTCGGTACATATGAGACCTGCATCGGTGCGGGAGCGGCCTATTGAGAAGCTTGATGAGCTTACCTCTCGACCGTTGTTAGTGTGCCCCCGAAATCCCTTTGGATATGGTGCCCATTGAGGAGCGGGGGGCGATTTCGTCTGATTCCTTATTTACTCATTTGTCGTTCCCTCCAAGGGGTTAGGTATGGGGTGGTGTGGCAGGACACAGTGGTCCAAGTGGTTAGGGCTGCAGGGCCCTAGGGCCTTGCTGACGACGGCAACCATGGAATCGGCTTTCCGGCTGCTGCCGGTGCACCCGGCGGGTTATTGTTTTCCAGGCTGTATTTCTGACGGTCTGTGTTAGGTGACTATGTGCCTCCACAAGGGTTGCTCCCAATGTCACTCCTGTGTGGGACCGTCAGTGTCGCAAGTCCGCGCTCTGCTGCTGCGACGTTTTATTGGGGTAGTGGTTCGGCGTTTTGGATTTCTGTGGCCCAGGACATAAACATGGGTCGGGGCTGTGGGCTGTGGTTTCCTGGATAGTGGGTTCGATTCCAGGGCGGGGGAACATCGGTTGCCCCTGACTGCGGTTTCCAACATCGGGCAGGAGGTGTCGGTGGTTTTGGGGGCGTTGGGGGTTTCAGCTGTGCTACCCGTGGGCTATCCTGGGTAAGCAGGGCTTCGCCTGTTGGTGTTGCCCTTGGGGTGGTATGGGCCTTCCATAATGGTAGCTTGTGCAAGCAGGCCCCCGTAGGTCCCTTCCTCTGACTTACGCCTGTTTACCACTGCAGCAGGTTTGGGGCCATTTTGGGCTCTCAATGGTGTGCTGGCTCTTGCCCAGTAAGGGCAAGCATCAAGGTTCTTGCAGCCTCTGGCTGTCTTGTAGCTCCTCCCCATTCTGGTGGCATGGTAGGCAGGGGGTACCCAACTCACGATCAGGTGGGTAGTTCTTCCCTTGTGGCAATCTTGGGGTGGTGCAGGCTGTTTGTCATGTGACGGTGTCCTCCACCCCAGTGGTACTCTAGTCGCGGCGCCTGGCTCGGCGCCGTTGAGTCTGCTGGTGTCTGGTCAGGTGGGGTTTTCCCGGGGGTTCACAATGTAATGCTCTATCTTGTTCACTGTGGGACGTACTTCGGGCGGGGGCTACGCGGGGCCTAATTATAGGGCAGTGGAGATGTGGTCACTTGGTCAAGCGGTCTGATGAAGCTGGTCCATGGGTCGATCTCTGAGGCGACGGGGGGGGCCCGCTACAGTAAGGTGTGAGTGATCGAGCCAGATAGGAGCATTTCCTTGCGGGGTTCCAGGATTAGACTGCTCGTCTACCTGTTTTGTTCCGTCCCTTAAGGGCGCTGGGGGCTGGGGGTAGTCCTCCTTGGTGAGTTCTTCGATTTGCAGGGCTCGGTTTCCCGTTCATGTTACGGTCATCTGCAAGTGGGAGGGTGTTTTTTGTAGGTTGAGTGGGCGTCGGAATTGACTTCCTTCAGGTTTTGCCACTCGACGGCGGTTGTCTTTGGGAAGGGTAAGTTGGTGGCGGTTGTTGTGCTAGGTACCCAGGTTAATCTGAAATATACAGTTCCGATTGGGGGTGGTGCCGGGTTCGGACATTTGTCCGGTTTTCCTTAGTGCTATTCAGTCCCCTGGATTATTCAGCCTCCTTACCCCTTGTTTGGTTCTCGACGATGAGTTTTCTCTCCTGCCCAGTTTCGTTGGGGTGTTCCACTTGGGCTTGAGTTCCTGGGTAGAGATGGTGCGGAGTTCAGGGGGCATTCGCACCGGTAGGGGCGGCTGCTGACACCGTTAGACTTGGCATGCCAGAATATATGTTAATTTATGCTTATTTATGTCTAACGTTTTTGGTTACAGAAAAAGAAGAGATTTAATAAATAAAGTTATGGATGTGTTATGCAGTAATTTAGTTTGTGATAATAAATGCTGTGGCCTGTTTAATCCATACTAAGTAGTCTGTCGTTATTGGGGGGTTGAATGGGGTTAGTTTTGTTCTAGGCTGCATTGCGATTCCCCACTACGTACATACAAGCAAAACAATTAGAATGTTTCCCACTGCGCAGTAAGCGCACTATTAGACGCTTCTATTTGACTCTCAGATATGAAGAACAGGCCTCAAAATGTACTATTTAGCAGATAAGCACCCAGAAAATAAGAATGTTTACCACTGTGCAGTAAGCGCACCATTTGACGCTTCTATTTGACTCTCAGATATGAAGTGCACCGCAGTCCCCAAATTGTACTATTTTGTAGATTAGCAGCAAAACAATTAGAATGTTTACAAGTGCACAGTAAGTACACTATTTGACGCTTCTATTTGACTCTCAGATATGAAGAACAGGCCTCAAAATGTACTATTTAGCAGATTAGCACCCAGAAAATAAGAATGTTTACCACTGTGCAGTAAGCACACCATTTGACGCTTCTATTTGACTCTCAGATATGAAGTGCACCGCAGGCCCCAAAATTTACTATTTTGTAGATTAGCAGCAAAACAATTAGAATGTTTAGAAGTGCACAGTAAGCATACTATTAGACGCTTCGATTTGACTCTCAGATATGAAGAACAGGCCCCAAAATGTACTATTTAGCAGATTAGCATCAAAACAATTAGAATGTTTACAAGTGTGCAATAAGCACACTATTAGACGCTTCGATTTGACTCTCAGATATGAAGTGCACCCCACTAAAATACTATTTAGCAGTTTAGGACCCCAAAGTTTTGAAAATGCAATGTGACAGCAGTATTTGACGCTTCTATTTGACTCCCAGATATGAAGTGCACCCCACTAATGTACTATTTAGTACCAAAAATAAATTACCTTTTCAAACTCTGATGTAACCGCGGTATTTGAAGCTTCTATTTGACTCTCAGATATGAAGTGCACCCCACCCCACTAATGTACTAGCTTGCAGAATTCTTTCCTAAGCTGTCTCTATCAGCGGCAGCATCCTCTCCCTACACTAATAAGACCGCATGTGCGTTCGGCGCTACGCGATTACAGCTTATATATAGAGGCTGGGTCACATGCTG